TACCACGCTAAAGGAAGTGAACAGAGAGGATGAGATGAAAGGGCCTCTCCAGACAATGGTTTCCTGGGAGAAGTTCATCAGCTTCTGAGAAGCAGAACTGACCATGCAGAGGCTGTGTCTGAGGCAGTAGCCCGCCCTTCCTGGTCTCACAGGAAATGCTTTCATGTCCATTTGCCTTGGGGCACCCAGAGGGTTTGATCATCTGCCTAATATCCATCAGTAGACCAGAACTGCCACAATCCTGCCAGCCCAGCCCCGAGCGCCTCTGAGAAGTCAGCTACCCATTCTGGTTAGCCCAGAGCCCTGTAGATGAGGTTCAGTCTTCCCTGCCGGTGGAAAGAATAGTGTGAAATAGAAGGAAAAGAAACCAGCTAGAAGTGCCTCCGTGTCAGTCTGCCCTTTGCTAGTATAGTGGAATCCCCTCCAAAAATAATTCACTTCCCAAACCAATCCTCTGTGTGAGGAGCACCAAAGTAGCTCTTGACCCTGCCTGTCATGTAGACAAGCTTATAAGCAGAGTTGTCCCCTGCCCTATCCCCTCCACTGCAGGACTGGGCCTCTCAGGAGGGTGAGGTTTTTATCTTTGGGGCCCTGGAAGAATGCTTTGTTGTTTTTGTAGTTCCTCAAAAATACCAGCTGAAGATTGAAGCTGTCCTCAAGGAACTTACAGTTGACTTGGGGTTTGGTGCAGTGGTAAAGAATCCGCCTGCCAATGCAGGAGATACGAGTTCAATCCTTGAGTGGGGGAAAATCCCCTAGAGTAGGAAATGGCAACCGGCTCCAGTATTCTTGCCAGGAAGATTCCGTGGACAGAGGAGCTTGGAAGGCTACAGTCCAATGGGGTCGCAAAGAGTACCACACGACTGAGCACGCACACTGTATGTGTGTGGGTGTGTAGAATACTAACTTAGAAGGGCAGACTGGCCTCCCCCATCCACCTCTAGGGTACTGAAGGAGGAACCCGGAAGGCGGAGTGCCCCCCTGGTGAGCTCCAGGAGGGCAGGGCCTTGATTTTGTTCATTTAGTATCCGCAGCCCCTAGAACTGTACTAGCAGGAAGCGATGCCCAATAAATGTTGGATGGAAGAATGATCACCTCTGTGCTCCGTTTGGTGGGGGGAAGGGGGGCAGATGAGGGGAGAGGTAGACGCTGAGTGTTGGAGGTAGCTGCCATCTGCGCTGTCCGAGATAGGATCCCGCTTCCTCCCTGAGCTTCAGCTGTAAAATGGGAGCAAGTGGCCCTGCCTTGCTTGGTTCCCAGGTCTGTCGGGAAGCCTCAGTGAGGCAAAGTGACAGTACCTAGGGTGATACCAAGGCCAGAGTTGTACTGCCGCGCTGCACTTCCCAATCTCTTCAAAGGATCCTCTCCGGTGCAGCCGTTTGGGACCCCAGACTGCCTCTCTACTCCCCCCTCATGTCGTGGCGCTCTCGACAGTCCAGAAGTTAAGAGATTGTTTCTAAGTCACCGTCGACCTGCAGCCCAGAAGCTTGTGGGAGGCAGGAAGGTAGAGGGTGGTGTTCGCCCCTGACCGCTCAGCCGTACAGGCGTACGTCTGTTGCCATGGACACGGGGCGGGGCAGGCCCCCGCCCTTTGGGCCCCGCGCGCACGCGCCCACGGCCACGGCCACGTCCTGCCGCGAGAGGGGGCGGAGCGAGCGTGCGCGGCGGGCGCGCGCAGGCTCCACGACCAAGCCGCGTGCGCGGATTGGCGTCGGCGGCCGGTGGCCGCTGAGGTGAGGGGCAGGTCTGGGAGGTGTCCTCGCCGGGGCGGCTCTTCACGCGCCAGAGGCCTGGAACCTCCGTGCGCCTGAGAGCGACCTCAGGGCCACCCGCGTCCCCACCGTGACCCCGGCCCAACCGCTCTTTGCATCTCGTCACTCCCACAGCTCGTCCCGGCTGCATCCAAGGGCCCGAACGCGACCTTGGACCACTCTACTATCTCGGGCCACCCTCTACCTTGGCCACCGGTGCACGGCACGCCCGGAGACTAGGGACTCCGGGGCGGGCGAAGGGGTGGGGGTGGGCGGCGGGGTCCGACAGCTGGACCAGAGCCGCACGTAAACTCCGCCCTTGTCTCCTGAGGCCGCGCCACACAGCGGTGGCTGCAAACTTTAACTTCCTTGTAAGTTGCAGAGGTGCGTGGGACACCTAGAGGTCGTGGCTGAAAAGGAAAGGGCTGGTTACCTAGGCAAGGCGAGGGTGAGCAGGGGCTGGACGCCGTGATTGCAGAGTGGAGGCAGCCTCTCCTCCCCTCGCAGGCCCCTCTGATTCCCAAATCTTCCCGCGCCCGGCGGGCGCTGAAAGTTTTGCCTGTGGCTGGCCCTTTAAGGGCGGGCCAGCCGCCGCGGCGCACGTGAGCGGCCTAAGGAAGCCAGCGCGGGGCCGCCTTCCCAGATTCTCTGCTCGGGCCTCTCTGACCCGAGGAGAAACCGAGAGGGGTCACAGCCTGCCCAGGGTCAGCAGCAGGGGTTGGCTCAGGGCCAGGCGCGGTGGATGGACCCCTCCAGGAAGAGGACGCTCCAAGTACAGAGGTTTATGCCCAGAAGTCTAGTGAAGAGCTGACATTTTTCAGGCGGAATCTGGCTTCTGATTTCCCTAAGGGGTCTGAGGACTTGGTGGAGGTACACCACATCTTGTGGGGAGGACAGTTCTTGTCGAGGCCCCTGCGGGCGTTCCCTGATCAGTCAGGGAAGGGCGCCCGGCTTAGTGGTTATTTTCTTTCTGCCCTCAGCCCTGGAGCACTTGGAGCTTTGGCCCCTGCCGCGCTGGATGCCATGAGTTGCTAAAGTGAGCCTGGCTTTAGAGGTGAGCTTCCCCAACCCTTCTTCTTCCCTTTCTTTTGCCCTGCTTCCTTCCCGTGCTGCCCAGAGCTCAGCGGGTCCCCAGGTACATTCCCCGCCTCTTTTGAGCAGTTTAGGAAGTGAGAGGAAGAGAAGGGTTCCAGGAACTAAGCTCCTTTGAGGAGAGAGGAAGTGTGCAGAGAGAGCAAGGACCAGAGGGCTGATCACTCCCAAGACAAATGGGAGACTTAGATGCTGAGAGCTTCCAGCTAAGAGCCTTGGGTTCAGAGATGTCCAACATAGATTAAATTCTTGGGCTTTTCTGGAAGTCCTGTTCCCAGGGAGGAGAGAAGTGGAAGTGGGGAAGTCGGACTACCTGGATTCTCATTGCCTACATTTTGTCCAGGCAGTTCTGTTTAGTACCTTTGTGACTTTGGTCAAGTCTCTTAATCTCCAACCACTTGTTTTCTGATCCATACCCATCTGGTTTTGAGGATTAATGAAGTAGCTGTGTTTCAATATTTAGACAGTGCCTTATCATCATCAAAGAAATCAGGTGTGAAACTAAGTGAAGGCAAGTTGAGGAAGACAAAGAATGCATCCAAAAGTGCAACTGTAGGGTAGGAACAAGGGTGGGTGAAAAGACCATTGTGATACAATGCAAGGTCATGATGCCAAAGGTTTAGAAGTTTATTGTCCGTGTTTGTGAGACAAACACTCTGTGCAAATTGACTGCAAAGACAGCTCTTCAGAAAAAAGTTTTGAGACCCAGAACCCACAGGGAATAAATTATTTCATACACCTAAGTTTTCCATAGAACTGAAGTGTTGATTTTCTGCTCCTGAACCATATAAATAGTCTTCTCTGTGGTGTGTTCCACACACCCCCCACCCCCGCCCCCACCCTGGATGATGCAGGTCAAGCCCTCTAAGAGAGTTAGTCTTCTGGCCCCAAGTTGCATGGAGGCCTGGGCAGTCTGTCTGGAATGGCTCATACACCAGCCTATGGGTTGTGTCCCTCAGCCTGCTCTTGGATATCTTCTCTGCTTTTTTTTTCCTCCCCTAAAATGAGTATCTTTATTGCTTATACCATGCAGATAGCAAATGGGAGAAACCGGGAAAGTCCAGTGAGGAAGAGGGAGAATCATCAGATAAATGACATACACAAAAAGGAAAAGACACCCCCTAGCAAACCTACATGATGCCTTTCTGTGAACTACCTAGTACAGGAGGTCAGTGGGGGAGAGCTGAACCCCCAAAACGAAATTCCAAACATTCAGAGATGTTGGGGAGAAGGGAAGGAAGGGGGAGGGGTGAAGCAGCCATTGGACCCCTGTTTGGGTTCCTGCCTGGCCAGCATCCTTCCCCCATGGGAGGCACCACTCCCTGTTGTGTCTCCACTTCTAGCAGTCTTTCTTCCTCTGCATCTTCCTTGCTGATCTGTGGACTGGAGAATTGGGATGAAGCTTGTTAGCCTGGGGAGCTCAGCAAGTTCAGGAAGCGTAGTGCTGGACTTTGCTCGGGCTGCTCAGGCCCTCTTTAACCTGGCCTCTCCTTTGGTTCTGGATGGATGAGCTTGTTGGATAGCAGTATTTCTTGGACCAGATGTGTTTAGTCAAAGAGACTTTCCTATGTGAGCCCCTTCCTGTGGCACATTTTCTCCCCCTGAGGTTTCATTCCTCATGGTTTCCCTGTTTTTAATAAGAGGGCCCTATGCTTGCCCCTCCTCCCTCCGGCAGTGGTTCATAAGGTTTGGGGAGGCTAGGCAGGCAGTGTAGGGAAAAGGCTGGCAGGCAGGCTGATGTCTGCCTATCAGGGGTGGATGATCAGGGCTGAAGTACGATCAGCCGCCCCTGATGGACCAGACATACGTCCCCTGCTGACTCACTCCTGTGCCTCTTCGTGACTTAGCTTCCCCAGGTGTGATCATGACTGCCAGCTGACAGAGTTGCTCGGAGAGCCTCCATAGTTGTGATTAAGAAATAAAGAGGCTTGTGGCTTCAGTCATCCTTTGTAGCTCCCTTCTAGGTCACTGTGTGTGTAAACACCTCCGGCTCCTCCCCCACCCCCTCCCGGGTCAGAGCACCCAAGGCAGGGCTGAGGTTGGGCCACAGCTGGCTGGCGGGCAGGCGGGCACATTGGTCAGAGCAGGCTACCAGCCTCCTCTCCCTTCTGTCTCCTTTGCAGCTCCCTTGGGGTGTGGCGTGGAGGGCACAGAGCCATGTCGGACCTGCTCCTCCTGGGCCTGATTGGGGGCCTGACTCTGCTGCTGCTGCTGACGCTGCTGGCCTTTGCCATGTACTCAGGGCTGCTGGCTGGGGTGACAGTGAGTGCTGGCTCACCCCCCATCCGCAACGTCACCGTGGCCTACAAGTTCCACGTGGGCCCCTATGGTGAGACTGGGCCGCTTTTCACGGAGAGCTGCAGTGTCTCCCCCAAGCTCCGCTCCATTGCTGTCTACTATGACAACCCCCACACGGTAAGGAGCCTCCTGTGCCCTGGCTGGGGTTCCACCCACTGGACAGACATGGGGCAGGGCTTGTTGGGCTCAGGGTGTTTCGGTTTCTGAGGAAGGGGCGGGGAAATCATTGAGCTGGCTATGTAGACCACCTTCTCTCTGGCCTTGAAGCTCCTTCCAGATTTAGTCTGGACTTCTGCTCCAAGCGTCCATATACTGGCTTTCTACTTGTCCAGGTCTAGTTTCCCTGTCTTGTGGCTCCCACGAACTTCTGAGTGCCACCGTGAATCCCTAGGCTCTGTTGGGGCTTTGCTCTGATGCTTCCTCTTCTGGCCTTCTTTCATTCCCATTTGAAGCCAGCACTCTAAAGCCAGGCCATTCAGATGCTGCCCTTTCTTTGGGATTGTATCTAGTTTCTTTGGGGGCTTCCCTGGTGGCTCAGATGGTAAAGAATCTGCCTGCAATGCAGGAGACCCGGGTTCAATCCCTAGGTTGGGAAAATCCCCTGGAGAAGGGAATGGCTACTCACTCCAGTATTCTTGCCTGGAGAATTCCATGGATAGAAGAGCCTGGTGGACTACAGGCCATGGGATAGCAAAGAGTTGGACACGATCGACTAACACAAACACACACACACACACACACACACACACACGTTTCTTTGCCTTCCCTCTTTCAGCTCTTCTGCTAAAAGAAAATAAAATCTTATAGTCATTATGATAGTCCCTTGCCCAGGGACAAGGTATTTCTTTGGACGTCAAGCTGCCTGGTTTGGAGAGGGGCTTGGGGGCAACTGGAGCCTGGTGAGCTGTCCGGGATGCTGGGGTGAGAGACTGACCTGGCATCACAGGCACCCCGTGGGTGTCTGGCTGTACTTACAGCCTGTGGTGAGTCAGGGCTCACCAATGTGGCCTCCTGCCATGCTGTGGGGTGGTGCTGCCTACTGCTGCATGGGCTGGCAGCATTGCCTAGGTTCTCCAGCCTCTAGCTCTGAGTCTTGGCAAACCAGGTGTTGGGAATCCCCAGCTCTGGTTTCCTTGCCTGGAGAGCTCAAGTGAACAAGGCCTATAGCCTCCACACTGCGTGCTGAGCGGGCCTCACTGGGGTGCTCAGTTGAAACAAGGATATCCTGACTCCTTCTCTGTGCCAGGTTCTGCTTGACACCTGCACTCTGGAGATGAACAGACCTGGCCCTGCCCTCGGGGAACTGTGGGCTTGGCAAGTCAGCCCTGTAAAAATGAATGAATGTCTAACAAGACACTGTACTGTGTTCAATGTTCATGGAACTTTGAGCTGTAGATTTGCCTCAAGTCTACCATGGAGGCTCAGAGAGGAGGTCTGCCATGACTATAATTTTACTTTACTGGGAAGGGCTTTCTGGCTAAGGGAACTGCAGAGCACAGGCCTGCAGACGTAGGATGACAGAGGAAGTGTGGCAAGTGAACACGTGGTGGGTGGAGAGCGATGTAGAAGGATTGGCTGGGCCAGGCAGTGGGAGGAACAGCGGGTTGGGAGGACAGGTAAGGAACAGTTTGCCACCTTTGATTTAGGAAGTTAAGTAGATGGCAAGGGGAGGAGACGAGGCAGGGGGCTGTTGAGATTGGGCTGAGTTGGGGTGAGAGGTGACGTGGCCTGGTTGAGGGATGAGTAGAAATGGAAGTCTTGAGGTCACATGACTGGAGTTGGCACCGAGAGTCGAGAACACTGAGACCCAAGAGAGCTGGGGTAGGCTTTGGGCTGTGGGAATCCTAGACCAGACGCCGGACCCCCACCCTTGCCCGGTTCTGTTGTCTAAGTCCCTGTCTCTCCGCTACCCTCCCCTGCTCCCTGCCCCTCCTCCCACATCTGACCCAGTTGGAACCCTCTGCAGGAGCTCAGTAGGAGGGACAAGGGTCCTTGCAGTGTCTCTTTCCTTATCAGCATGTCCTGTATCAGAAGCTGTAGGTTATCTCTTGGATTGGAGGTGTTAATTCCAGAATGGGAGAGGGCCGTGGTCCCTTTGGGTCATTGCCAAAGGCTGGCTCAGGGAAGAGTGAGGTAGAAGAATCCTGGCATGGGGCACCCTCCCCAAGGCCTCCTAACCCAGCCAACTCCAGGAAGCCCACCATACAGTTCTCCTGGGGATGTGATGGACTCTCTGGGCTGGGTCTTGATTTCCAGGCTTGGCTAGGCACATCCTGACTTGGATACCAGTCTGAGGGCCCATGGCCTGAGAGCACAGCCTTGAGGTTAGCAGTCCTAGGTTCTGATTCTGTCTCACCACTGTCCTGTTGTGTGATTTGGGGCATACCACATAACCTGTCTGAACCCCCATTTCCTCATCTGCAGAGTAATGTTAAAAATACCTGCTTTTAGGTTGGCTGGCAAGGGTTAAATCAAGTGACATAGGTGAGGCATTCCCTAGTAGCTCAGCTGGTAAAGAATCTGCCTGCAATGCAGGAGACCTGGGTTCGATGCCTGGTTTAGGAAGATCCCCTGGAGGAGGCCATGGCTACCCACTCCAGTATTCTTGCCTGGAGAATTCCATGGACAGAGGAGCCTGGCCGGTTACAGTCCCTGGTATCTCAAAGAGTCAGACACAACCGGGTGATTTAAGCACAGCACAGCCCAGGACCTTGAGGTGCTGTGGTTGAGGATCAGAAATTGTAGCAACAAAAAATGGGTGGAAAAAACACTCATGCTAATTAAATGTGATGAGGATTGTTAGGCTGGGCACTCATAACCTAGGCCTAGGCCCTAGCCCTGGCTGTGACCATCAGGTTGGCATAGAAAATGAACACATAGTCATTGTGGCCCCTCTGATCCTGTCTTTCCCAGTCCTGGGTCACTCAGGAAGTAACCTGTGTCCCCATTCAGAGCTGAGTCACACCCTGACACCTGGGATGGCTCACCTGCCTGGCAGAGATCCTAGAAGGTTCAGGGACCCCCAGGATTCATGTTCTCATGGCTACCACAGACTGATTGGTCCATGAGAACTGAGGCTTCTGGGTCCATACTGCTGATACCATAGGGGAGGAGACTTAACGATCAGTTAGCAAGTGCTGCAGTACTGTCTTACCAAGTTTACTTACGCTTTTTTATTTGCATTTAACAAATATTTGAGCATCTGGTCTGTGCCACTCTGTCCTGGGCACTGGTGCACAGTGGGGACCAAGGGATGCAGCTCTCAGGCCCTCTCCATGGGCGCGAGGGGTGTCAGGGAACCTGAAGGACAGGCCTCTTCTGGTCCTGGGGAGGGCTGAGAAGCGAAGCTTTCTGCTCCCTGGCTGCCTCCCCCAGCCCAGCGGTGTCCAGCATGGGACCCTGCATGCTGTGATTCACAGGAGGAAGAGACAGGATGTGGCTGAGCTGTGGAGTGTCCCATCCCCACTCCGCCCTCCCCAGCACAGCCCAGCACAATACAACAGGAGTCAGAACCTGGCTTCTCTGAGTGTGGGAGGGAGTGAGGCTATTTCAGGCTCTGTGAGTGGGGCAGTGAATGACCAGGTGAGGGGTGGCCACCCCCATGAGGTGTGGACTGACAGCTCCCAGCCACGCCCCTTCCAGGTCTCAGCTGGACAGAGGGAGGTTGGTTCCTCAGAAAGGACGGGTGAGGCTCCCCTGGTCTGGCTCAGGGCTCAGGAAGTAACACACGAAAGGGCACCAACAAGGCAAGATTGTGGCATTGCTGTGGACACTTTCACGTGAGATGCTGCTTGAGTGTGTATATCCTGGAGAGACATGTCTATGTTTGGATGTCAGTCAGCTGGCCAGCCCTATATCTTAGATTTCTATATGGGAGGAGCCTATAGATCTAGGCTTGTGATTCTTGTGGTGCCAGAGGAATCATTCTGTTTTCCATCCCTGAGGGCCTTGGTGGCGCGCGCGCACACACACACACACACACACACATAGAGTTCTGTCTTGCTCTCTCGCTCTGACTTGGACGATGATTTTCGCTTCCCCTTCTAGGCCTGGTCCCTCTGGGAGCCTTGGTTGTTGGCAAGGCGCTGGAGAGGACTCTGCACACCTCGTTTGATCCTGACCAGTTCTGACCTGTGAACAAGCCCTAGTGGTTGGGCTGCTGTCACCGTGCCTGTGGGCCTGTCCCGTCTGACAGCCTGGCCCTCCTCCTCCTGCCCCACCCCCTGCTGCTGCCCACTCTGCTGCTATTTGAGGCTTAAGTAACCTGCCTGCCCGCCTTTGTGGGGAGCTTGGCTGAGGCAAGTGGGGCGTGGCAGCCTGTTCAGCTTACCTGATCAAGGCCTAGGAGGAGGTGCTTGCTTCAGGCATGGAGGGGGTTGGGGAGGGGACTGGTGGTGCTTGGGTTCTACCTTTAGTTAGCTTGTTGTTGTTTAGTCGCTCAGTTGTGTCCGACTCTGTGAGGCCATGGACTGTATCCCACTAGGCTCCTCTGTCCATGGGATTCTCCAGGCAAGAATACTAGAACGGGTTGCCATTTCCTTCTCCAGGGAATCTTCCCAATCCAGGGATTGAACCTGCATCTCCTGCGTTGGCAGGCAGGTTCGTTATGGATAAGCCACCAGGGAAGCCCCTTTAGTAAGCTGAACCACACTGAAGTTTCTTTCTTCCTCTAGTCCTTTGAGAGTCGGCCTGGGGGTCACCAAATCTGCAGGGGCTGAGTAAGAGTTTTCTGACATTGGCCTATGCCGTACTTTCTCTTCAGTGTATATGGGGATGGGGTCCCCTGCTCTCCCTGGAGGCACTGAGGTCCCGTGGAGCCTGAGAAGGGTGGGGTGAGGGAGTAGGATTTCCCAGGATTGCACCCTCAAAACAGGCAAGGGAGATGTGGACTGAGCTGATGTTTCCTGAAGGCCCAGACCATCATCTACCCAGCTATCCGGTAGCAATAGTTCTGTCACGTGGAATCCAGGTCTTTGCTCAAGGCAGGTTAACTGTAGGCAGCTGTAGAAAGGTGAGACTCACTGCCCAGCGGAGCTGGCCTTGGGAAGGAGAAGGGGTGAGGAATGGAGGGAATGGCTTTGAACTTACCCTTCAGGGTTGGAATCAAGGCTCCATTGCTTACCAGCGTGTGACTGAGCAAGTCCCATGGTCTTTCTGAGAATCTCTGTTTCAGGATTTTAGTGTTTCGGGGGACTAGATAAGACCAAATATCCAGCTCCTATTAGGTGCTTAGCCATCTTGGCATGTGCACACCCACCCACCCACATATGCACCTCTGAGGGCCTTACACCATGAAGACTTGATGCTTTTAGGTACTCTGCTTGCCTGTGGCCTAACCTTGTGCAGGTGTCCTGGGCCATGTGAGAAGGTGCAGTGTGGGGAGAAACCATTGTACAGGCCATTCCGCCCTGTGCTCAGTCATTGAGTCGTCTCTTTGTGACTACTCTTTGTGACCCCATGGACTGTAGCCCACCAGACTCTGTCCATGGGATTTCCCAGGCAAGAATAATGGAGTGAGGTGCCATTTCCTACTCCAGGGTATCTTCCTGACCCAAGGATTGAACCCACATCTCTTCCATCTCCTGCAGAGGCAGGCAGATTCTTTACCCCTGTTGCCACTTGGGAAACTCCAGGCCATTCCTCGGCAGGGCCTATTTCTTGGGCTCCCCGGTGGCTGTGGATTGTATGTGGCATGGCTCTGGGGTCAGTCTGCCTGGGTTTGAACCCTGATGCCAACATTGCCTTGCTGGATGCCCTTTGCTGAACTCCCTGGGTCTCAGGGATATAATGAGCTGATGCCTAGAAGGCACCAACTGAGGCCAATGGTGAGCACCTTGTCAGATGCCAGCTGACATCCTTAGGATTATGCCAGGGGGTGAAAATAGAAAGTCCCTGAAAGACTTCTAGGTAGGAGCTCCCAGCAGCCCCTGGAGCCCCCTCTGAAGGGTGGCATCCTGCTGACTTCCCTCCCCTCAAGCCTGAAGTGTGGGTCCTATGCTCTGACCTGGTCGTCTGTGTCACCCAATTCCTTCCTAGTGCCAGTTCTACTGTGCCTTTGGGCCTGAGCTCCTCAGGGAGGTTGGATCTGGGGGCTTGTTGTGTTGACCTGCAACGCACAGGAGGGTACGAGCCCACCATTCACCCTCTAGTAATGGACAGGTGTGGCTGATCTCTTCTACAGGGGGTACCGGTGCAAGTGAAGGGCCTTGCCCCACTGCTCCCACTCGCTTGGGCAGCTCTGGGCTGCGTGGGCTGTTCAGGAAGGAGTCTAGGCAGCCTTCTGGGCCTGGGACTGGTGGACAGTGCAGCTGTCTGTCATCTTATACAGGCTGTGGACATGAGGAGGGCCATTTCTGTTGATCCTGAGGGCTGGGTTTGGTCTGGGCTAGCTTAAACCATTTTTTCTTCCTGGATCCTGACATTTATTGATCTTGTCCAGTTTCCAGATTCGCTGAGGTCCTGGCCAGCCAGGGACCATCTCTTCACTGATGTCACACAGCAGGGTACTGCAAGGCCTTTCCAGAAGGGACAGTGGGGCCAGATTGTACTTGAAAACTACAGGCTCCAAGCCCTCTTCTCACTGGGCTAGGGCTCAGGAGGCCTCACAGCCTGAAGGAGGTACTCTGGGCTCTCTTTCCTAGCAGTTGTGCTCTGAGGGCAGATTCTGGATGGGCCCCTCACTTACCTAAGTTGGTGGTGGGTCTGTCCACCACCCTGTCTCCCTGGTATGGTTCCTTGCTGATGCTAGTTCTGAGTACTAGCTCTTGTTCTGAGCTTAGCTATCCAAATGATCAATATGGGGAGGAAAGGGAGAAGGCCTTTAGACCTGGAAGGCCCAGGCTGCCCTCCGAAGGTCAGGCCCAATAAGGACACTGCATTGAACCACAGTGGGTGGGATTTCCAGCCATCAGGACACTCCTTCTTTTTGGACCCTTGACAACCTCAGTGAGCCATTCCCCTGAGCTGGGCTGGACTGTCCTGGGAGCCCAGGAAAGCCTTCTGCTCTGAGACCAATCTTGCCACTGCCCAGCTGGTCTTAGGACCTGTCCCATCTCTTCCTTGCTGGTGCCTGATTTGGCTGGCTGCCAACTCCTCTTGGTATGAGGCTGCTCAGCAGGTGGTGGGCATGCTGGGTAACCTCCTAGGCTGCCCCTTAGCCCCTTGGACAGGGGAGGGGCAGGAAGTGTTCTCACATGTAGAATTGAAAAGGTGCTCAGGCAGGAAAGGAGCACTTGTGCCCAGGATTTCAGGAGCTCTGTCTCTTTATTGGCTGCCTCCCTCCCCCATGACAAGATTTCCTCCTTTATCAACGTGGAGGGAGCAGAGGTTTGCTTATGATGCAGAGCCCGTATGTGCATGTGTGTGCATGTAGGCATACCTGTACTGTCGCTGAAGAACTTTCCTTCTGCCTAGAGGTCTGGAGTGGTGGGGAGAGGGAGAGGCCACCAGTTACAGGCAGCACAAGACCTGTTCCCTCCAGTGGGCATTTGGGGATCAGAGAGGAGGGACTGGCCAGCAAGGAGCGGCAGAGCTTTCAGAGGAGGGTTGAGCTGAATCTTGAAGGATGGGGGAGTTTCCCAGGCAGAAGGGACTCAGAAATAGGGTTAGGAGGACATTCCAGGCAGAGGAAGTAGCCTACGCAAAGGGAGGAAGCATGGGAGGATGTGGCATGTTTGGCGAGCTGCAAATAGTTCCATGTGGGCATGTGTGGGGGTGTGGTGGGAGAGAAGGCTGGCTGGCCAGAGCCTGGATTTGTCTCTCCCTCTGCCACTCAGATGCTTAGTGGGCGCCTGCCCACCTGGGTTTCGGCCCCTACTCAGGGCTAGGGATGCAGAGAAGGAGTGCTTGGCGAGTGTGTGGACAGAGCCAGGCAGTGTGTACACAACACACTGAGTGTGGACCGCTCTGATACAGCCTCGCATGCGGGCCTCAGGAGTTTCATCTTAGGTAGAGGTGAATTGGGAGGATCCATTGAGAGGTGCTAAGCAGGGTGATCACAGTATCCTGGTGCCTTTGGGGGGCTGAGGAGGATTGGAGCTGGAGCCACTGAGGGAATCAAGACCGTGGGGCCCAAACCCAGGTAGGCCAGGGGCTGGAGAGGGGACTGTTGGTTGGCCTTCCATCCATTTCTCTGTTTAGCCTGTGGTAGATGTCTCTTGTGTATAGCATAGGTCACTAGGTTAGGAACATGAAGATGGGCTTCGGCGCAGGCCCTGTCCTTTGGGTCTGTCAGCCTGAGACCTGCCCTCTGGAGCCACCTGGCGTTCTGGCCATCCTCAAGTCTTGGGTGTGAATGGGGCAGTTGCACCATCTAGAGACAGGAGATGGTATTGCAGCCGTCTCCACTCTGGGGAGGGTGGGAGAAGCATCGGGTTGAGAGAAGTGGCAGTGCTGTGAGGTTGACTTGATGCAGGTAACAATTTACAGCACGGGGCTGCTGTCGAGCCACCCTGAGAAGGCTGTCCAAGAGGGTGTTTGGGCCTGAAGGATGGGCAGGGAGGAGCTACATGTTCGGAGGTTTGGGTAAGTGGGCTTCTAGGCCAATGGTTACCACTTGTTTGGCCTATGTCGTAGCTACTAATAACTGACAAGTATGGAGCACTTGTCATGTGGACCATGACAAGTGCTGGACCATGCTAAGGCCTCCTGGGAAGTGTCTCATTTAATACAGTTCTGTAAGTTCTTATCTAGGCAGTGGGCTTCAGGAAACTAAGGGACTCACCCAGAACACAGGACTCGAGATTCACACACGGGCCTCCCTCTCTCCAGAAGCTGTGGTCCTGACCACTGTCCCATACTGCCTGCCACCAAAGCCCTGAGCTATGCCTAACAACATAGGATTCAAGGGGACCGAGCTACAGAGAGTTGGGGTGACCCCCAGGGACTATGCAGAGGTGGGAGTTGGTGTCCATTTCAGGCAAAGTGACACTCCAAGGTCAGGGCTAATTTGGCCAGAATAGAAAGGTAGGGCTGGGCTGAGGATCCCTTAGCCATAGGGGGACTGGTGACTGGGCTTGGAAAGGGCCATGGGAAGGCAGAGACAGGTGAACATGACTGCACGGTACTGGGATGGCAGGCTCAGGAGAGGAGAAAGTGCAGGTAGAAGGAGTTTAAACGGAGGGGTTAGTGGGCCCTGAGGAGCGCCTTCAGATGGAGGGAAACCCGGAACAGAGAGCCCTAGGTCTGTGATAAGTCTCTCGGGTTTAGGAGCAGATTCCCCTGGGGGCTGGTGCAGATTCAGGCGGCAGGAGGTAGGACACACTGGGGCCCATGGATGCCAGGAGGAAAAGCAAGTGCTGGGCTTTGCAGGCCTGGAGTCAACCCTAGGAAGTCTCAGAGCCTGGGAGCCCTTATCTGGCTGCAGTTTGTGGGAGCCAGGGGAGGGAGGGGAGCAGAGTGCAGTTAGGTGTAGGTATTAGGGGCCCAGAGAGATTTGGAGGGAACCAGCATTCTCAGCCAGGAAGGGGCTCGGGAAGTGGGGCAGGGTTTAGGGAGGGGCGTGGGTTGGAGCAGAGGTACGGAGGCCCTGGTGATGGGGGCCAGCCCTGCCTGAGACCCTGGGGCTGAGGATCTCACTCTGCTTCCTGACCAGCGCTTCTGTGGCCACTTTGCCGCCAGCAGGGGCCTGCCCTGTGCAGTGGAGGATGGATGAGACAGGATGCCACAGGCCTGGGTTTCAGCAGGAAAACTGTCAACTTCATTGTGGCGTCTGGGCTGTGTGGCTTGTTGGAGCTGGTAGTTCCCCCAGGCCCCAGCTGGCCCAGAAGCCAGGAAGCAAGAGGCCTGTGGGCCTCCTTCCTTCACCAGCCCTGACACCCCTCCCCTGCTCTGCCTCCCCAGGTGCCCCCTGAAAAGTGCCGCTGTGCAGTGGGCAGCATTCTGAGTGAAGGTGAGGAGTCACCCTCCTCTGAGCTCATCCGACTCTATCAGAAATTTGGCTTCAATGTGTTCTCCTTCCCGGCGCCCAGCCATGTGGTGACGGCCACCTTCCCCTACACCACCCCCCTGTCCATCTGGCTGGCTCCCCGCCGGGTCCATCCTGCCCTGGATGCCTACATCAAGGTGAGACACAAGTCTGGGGTGTGTGTGTGTGTGTACGTGTGTACAGCCAGTCCTTTGAGTGGGAGCTGGGAGGCCTGCCTCGTCTGGGAGGAACGGTGGTTTGGGGAGGGTGGCATCTCATGGAGCAGGTGCCTGTGGAGCTAGGAAGATGGGCAGAGGCTACTGACATTTCTTCTATACACCCAAGACCTTGTGGGCCCCAAGCATCTCCCAGGAGCACGGGGAATTTGTTCAGAAATCCAGCCTTGTCCTTTAAGCTCTGACTTGGACCAGAGACATCCTTAGTGTTCAGCTCCCACTCCAGGCCCACCCTGCCCCATCCTGCTGGAGGCTTGCAGACCAAGGACCCCGAGACAGACTTTCCCTTCTGTAAATTCCTCCTCCTCCTCTTCTAAAACATTTGGAAACTTGGGTGCTAGGGAAATGACCCCAATTTGGGCTTGGAAGTGATGGCTTATTCATCCATTCGCCTTGTATTTGTCGAATGTCTATGCCAGGTGCTATGCTGGACGTGGTGTGAGATCCTGGTGTGTGAAATAGGTGTTTACAGTGAGGTGGTGGAGATAGGTGATAACGTCAGACAAAAATGGGATGTGTACTAGGAAAGAAGAGGGTGAGAAAAGGTGGGGAACCAAGTGAACAGAGTGATCAGGGATGGCCTTTCGGAGGAGGCAACATCTCAGGCAAAAATCCTAGAAGAGCCCTTGGAGGGGTGGTAAGAATGTTCTCAGCAGAGCGAGGGTGAAGAGCATGGGTTTGCTCTAAAGACAGTGGGAAGTCTGTGCAGCATTCCAGCCGGGATCTGGGTTGTGGCTCATGGGGGCCGGGTGGAGGTGCTGAGAAGCTGTTACAAGTCCTGCCATGCACGGTGGCAGCTTGGGCTGGGCAGGGCTGCGGAGGTGCAGATGAGGTGGGGATGTGCAGTCTGTTTTGGAGGTGGAACTGTCGACTTTGTGGATGGGTTGGATCCGGGGGAGGAGGAGTGGGAGAGTCACGCCGCGGTCCCCTCTGGCCAGGGAGGGTGGGTGAGCGTGTAGGGTGCTCTCCGCTGACGTAAGAAAGGCGGAGGGAGGAGGTGAGGGGCTCTGTGGGCTCTGTCAGTGGGGGTCTGTCTGGGGGACAGCCCAGCCAGGGTGTGGGGTCAGCAGTGATGTGTGGAATGTGGGGTTCACAGAGGGTTGGGCTGGCGGCTATGTGTGGTGACATGCACCATACATGGTTGACAGTATTTGCCCCGGAGGACGGCCGCAGCAGCAGAGGCTGTGCAGGGGCGTGGCCAGCATGGCAGGGGTCAGGGAACTGGAGAACAGAGTTAACAGGAATGTGTGCAGGGCGTGGCCAGCGTGGCCGGGGTCAGGGAACAGAACAGAGTTAACAGGGATGTGGACCTGGCGCTTTTGGAAGAACCTGGTGGCTTTTTGTCCTCCGAAGCATCTTGGGAAATGAGACAGGGCCGTGGCAATGGACGTGGGAGCCCAGACACGTGCTGGTGAAGTGGGTGTGAGAGTCTGTGTCAGGGCTGGGGAACGAAAGGGTGGGGCCCCAGGTCGCCAGCTGTGGCCGTGGTGGGCAAGGGTGGAGAGAGGAGAACCAGGAGGGCTGCTGTGGTGGGGAAGGGGCGTGGGGAGGACGGAGGAGGATCGCTTTTGTGTGCTGGAGGGTGCCAGCCAGAAGGGCACAGGGGGCGGGGTGAGGAGACCTGGGCGAGCTGGCGGGTTGTGAGGGCAGGAAGGCCGGCAGCGTTTGTCCTACTCAGAGTTTGTCCCCAGGAAGGGCTGGTGTGTGGCGTCTCCGGTCCTGTCTGCATCGTCCTCAGATTCAAGGGCCAGTCTGGGGGAGCACCCCTGGGAGGAGACTCTGTGGGCTCCAGACCTCAGAACAGGACGTGTGGCCTGTGGTGCGGTGGCGAGCCACTCAGCCACCAATGCCTTTTCTTGGCTTCGGGGGTTTATTTTTAGACACCTTTGTCCAAATTTCCCGGCCCCTGACAGCTTCACAAGTTGCCTGGTTTTGACGTCACCTCTTTGATGAAAGCCCTTCCTCCTACCATCTCCTCCCTAGGAGCCTGTCAGCTGTGCTCCGGGCTCAATTTTCCTGGGGCTGAGCCTGCAGCAGGGTGGGTGCCATCCTCTCTCCTGCCTGGGATGCAGAAGCCACAGGTGCAGGGCAGTGCAAGGGGCTCCTCGGGGATGTCTGTGAGGCCTGCTGTGTGGGCTGGGCCACCCGCTGGGGGAGAGCGAGACGTGGGGCTGCCCCACAGTGGAGGCGCGGCCCAGCTGCTCTGCTGGTTTCTGGGGATGCACCTCTGCCCCCGTGTTCAGCCTGATCTTTCATGCTGGGGAACAAAGCCGGGTAAAAGACGAGGAAGGGGCAGGTTCTCTTTGCTGGTCTCCGCCTGCAGTGGCCAGGGGTTGGCCCTGTGACTCTCGGCCTGGGTGACTGCAGAGAATGTAAGGCTCACCCTCACACCTCTCCTCGTCCCCCTGACCCCCAGGGACCAGAGAAGAGAGGATGCTGAAAAGACTCTGGGCACTTCCAACTCTCCCAACCCTGACAGCCGGCTGCCTTTAACTGTGTGTGTGTCTGTGTGTGCACACACATTACATACATGTGCACATGTCTTCTTTCCCCACCTGGCTGGCTTCTCTCTGGAGGAGGCTGGGTCTGCTGCGGAATTGCTTCAAACACAGTGACAGCAGCCGGTCGGCTTTCTATTTCGGGAGGGGTGAGGGAAGCAGCAGCCAGAGGAGGCAGGCTCACCTGCTTCCCCAGAGGCTGGGGCAAGGGCTGAAGGTGTGCCATCTCAGAGCCTCAGATGGGGCGTGGAGAGCAGCTGCCGTCCTGGCAGCCGGAGATGTGTCTGAGCTGGGGATAGGATTGGTCCCATGGAACAGCAAGGTCCTAGGGGTCTCTGTGAGGAACCCAGAGAGAAGCACTTGTCAGACCTCTGTGGGGGTTCTGGAAGGACGGCTGGGTCCCAAGTCTGTGGGGCAGCCCCTGGCTCTCTGGCCAGGCTTTCCTATCTTGGCAGTCTGGCAGACTGTAGGGGCTAGAGTCCGCCTTCCTCCACGTGAACCACTGGGCTCCAGGCTAGGCACTCTGGGACAGCATGTGTGTGAGGGGTCCCTTGGGGGAAGACGCCCCAGCTTTGTCAGGCCAGTCCTCTGCAGTCCAGAGAACTAGTAAGCCTCCAGGGCAGGAGGAGACCCTGCCTTGAGCCTAGGAGGGGGATTCTCGGTCAGCTGAAGGAGGGAACTGAGCTCCCTTGAAATTCTAAGGCTACAGAAGAGGTGGGCCCCAGAAGTCAGCCCAGAGCAACAAACAAAGGTCTCAAAATTCACCTCTAGGTGGGACCAGTCTTAATGAGCGTCCAGGAAATGCTTGGGGCACATGAAACAGACCAGAGCAGAGCTGGAGGCCCAGGGTCCCTGTGTGGGCTGGTGCGTGAGGTCACTGACACTTGGCTCCTGTCTGTCTGTGGCTGGAGAGGAGATCACTGGGAATGTCAGACTGCCGAGCAGAGGCCCCTGTGCCTGACATCCTTGCAACAGGATGTATGATCTTTTCCACAAACCCCCTTCCCCAGGTCTCTGCTTTCCCTGAGTTTTCAAGAGAGGGACCTTTTGAAGTCTGGACATCTCTTGAATTTAGGGAGACATAGAGCATTGTCTGTGGAGGCTACTTGGCTGGGAAATGGCAGGCAGGCCCTGGAGGTCAGATGGTGGCTCTCTCTGCATTGAACTGGAGAAGGGTGACAGGCAGAGCAGGGTAGTTCCCCCAGTGGGGGGACCTTGGTGGTAGAGTCTTGGGATAGCCAGGTGGACAGGGTTATCCTGCCAGGGACAGCTGTGAGCAGGGACCCCAGACCTCAGTTCTCGAACTGTTCTGGGGTCAGGAGCCTTGGTGCTGTGCTCTGGTGCCCCCACGGCTGGCAGCCAGGGGTAGGGGCTGCACTCAGACCTTCACCTGCTTCAGCCAGGGTAGCTCTGCCTCTGGGTTTGACACATCAGATGACCTCCTGAGCTTTTGTTTGGAGGAGGATGTTTGAGACTTGCTTGGTTTGAAAACCTCCGTCTGCATCGTTGGGCAGCGGCATCCTCCGTCCCCAGCCCACCACACGCCCATCCTAGATCCTGAGGACGCCGCTGCAGTTGCCATGTGAGTGGAGCTAGGAGGCGCCAGGGCTCACCCCTTGTGCAGGTGGGGGCCAGAAGGGTTCCCAGAAGAGGACTTTGTGGGGAGCTGGAAGCTGGACCTGGAGGACGCCCTGGGGAGGGTCAAGGTGGCGATCTCCCCGGAAGGGCTGTGCTTGAACTCCCAAGTGGTGGGTGAGAGGCTGGCAGTGTCCAGGGAAGGCCAGCTGAAAGCTGAGAAGTGGGGGCCTCCGTGGGGTGCCTGCGGAGGTGGTCAGCCTGCTGGGCTGTGGGCAGGGAGGCAGCTTCCAGCAGCATGGTCAGAATCTTGGTCCTGTCCAGTGGCTCCAGATCTCCTGTGTGTGTTTTCCCTCGACCTGCCCGGTGACTTTGAGGGAGTCAGTGATGGGGGTGGTTTGAGTCCCCGCTGAGGCCTGAATACCAATAGGGTGCAGGGTGATACTGGCGGTGGGAATCCAGGTGAGGAAGCCCCCGTAGGATATGACATTTGGGGTCCTCTCTTTCCCTGCCCATCACCTTTGCTGAGCTAATGTGGGAGGGTTTCCGAGCCTTACTTTCAGTAGGAAAAGCCCTCCTGGTATCTCAGCTCAGTCGCTTACTCCACTTGTTCACTGAGCCCTCCTTTGTGTGGTGTTGTTTGGACCATGGGGGAACCAGCTGGGAAGCAGGCATAGGATCCTAGTCAAAGCCAGCGTCCCCATTGTTTTACCAGCAAGGACACTGAGGACGGGGAAGTGGAGGTTACTCAAGGTCAGGGCTTGAAGCAGTGGCCGAGTCTCCCCTGGACAGAGAGTCGCTGATGGCTGCATGTCTCTTGTCACTCTGCCCTGTCCATGATTGGGGCTG